ATATGTATATATATATATATAATATATATAAATGTGTGCATGTGTGTGTGTGTGTGTGTGTGTGTAAAGGTGTATTAAAAGTCTGGAAACGGTGAAATGTTTCAAAAGCAAAGCGTTTTTGAGAAAAATATTTCAGACAAAAGTTTAAAAAGATCTATTTATTGATTATATTCGCTTGATCTTGGGTAATGTCACACAAAAAATATACAAAAAATATTTTATGAACTACTTACTACATAATGAAAATACCAAGTACATTATAAATTATTTTAATGCAAAATATTTAAAAAACGCTTTGCAAAACATTTCTTTTTAATTTCAGCCATTATATTATTACATTTTAACATATATAACTTATTAAGAAATCCTGATAATTTCAAGAATACAAAGTTTTCTTAATTAATGTTAATGTTAAAATAAACCTTTACATTAGAGAAAATCTTTTTGAATTTGACCTTGATATATGTTGTCAAGGTCATGACTCTAAGTCCTTCAAAAAGTTTTAGGTGGCGGTCACTATTCGTTCAAAAGTTATTAACAAATAAAGTTAAAAAAATAATGTCTTATTTTTATCATATTAAAAATATGTACAATATTAAAAATTATTCTATATCTTTCCTGTCTAGGGACGTTCGACTTTCTACGCAAAGGGATGAGTCCATTCCACCTCCCCCCTATCTCGGATTGCAACTTTCCACGCGCGAAACGAGATTATTCCATCTTTCCTTAACCAAGGGGCAACCGACTTTTTCCTAGATCGGGAAGTGAAGTGGACCTTACTTCGCATAGAAAGTCATACGTTCTGAGGCAGAGGAGAAATGGAGTGGAACTTGTGAGCGGATATGTGAGGGAATGGTAATAAAACGTATACGAAAAGCAATTACATTTATTGTAAAGATGAATATAAATCGCGAGCACGATATTTAGTGCGTAGTGAGAGAAGAAGACCGGCAGTAATAATAATAATAATACAGTGAAGCGCCACGCGATAACAGCGCGCAGAGTAGAAAGAACATGGATAAGCACCTCTAGTCGGACTACGGTCTTCCATGATAGCGGAGCCCGCGTAATCTAACAGAACTCACTTTGCGTGGAAAATCTAATGCTCCGAGGAGGGAAGTGGAACTTAAGTCACTTGGAAAACTATGATAGAGGAGGAGGTGAGTGAATTTCTCTTCGTGTGAAAAGTCATATGTCCGTCAGTATATAGCAGAAATGAGACATTTTTTAGATTTTATTTATTAATAATTTATCAACGAACAGTGACCGCCACTTAAAACCTCTTTTATCTTTCGTCTGCTTTCGTACATAATTACTGCAAAAAGAAACGCATAGAAAAGTTAGAAAGATCTTATAAATGGAATATGAAAAGTTTGATTTGCGATCTTTTATAAGACGTCTTTATGGCATTTTCTTTTTCTGAGAAACATGGCAGCACATATTATGCATAGTAAACGGATTTCTATAATTTATTTATAGTTATATTTAATGGAGATCTATCGACATATAAACAGTTATAAGCTTTTGCAATAGAAAAACTTGCCTGTTTTTATTTACAACCTGTGTGAAGTCGGGTATTGACCGTATTTGTCCGTAATTGCAAATGCCATATCCAATTGTATATACATATACGCAATGTTGATTTATAGGAATTTGTCTGCAACTACGGATACGATTCTTGTTTATCTCTGTCTGGAGAGATGCAATGGATGCTGGGTATCTATTTGCAATTACAGATACTACATTCATTTGCATCTGTATGTAATGTTGACTTATTGATAAAGATGAATACAGTATTACGAATATAGTTAGTATCCAGTCGATATGTACACAATCCAGACAGGAACAAATAAAAATCTTATTCGTAATTAACCTGGTGAAAAAATGTTGCTGAAATTATTCCACATTTTGGAACCCTTTTCAACAAAATTTCAGCATTTCAAAAAAATTTTAGTTTAATTTCAATGATTTTTAGCTGAAAAATTCATTTTCGATAAAATTTCAGCAAAATTTTTAGACAAATTTCAGCAAAAATTTTAGAGAAATTTCAGAAAATTGCTGAATTCGTTGGATTTCAGTGATTTTTCAATATGTTAACTGAAAAATTCACTTTCAAAGTTTCAGCAAATTTTCAACTAAAATGTTTCAAAACGTGGAATAATTTTAGCGAAACTTTTTCACCAGGGTGTAGACGAATTCTTACAGGTCGACGTTGTATACAGATGAAGATAAACACGGTATTCGTATTTGCGAATAGATAGCATCTATTGCATACAGATTGCAGATGGAAATAGGCAAATTTTTCTATTGCAAAAGATTATAGATGATACCTCAATAGATCTCCATTAGATACAGTTACATATCATTATATTTTCTGTATTTGCAGATATAGTAAGTTTCTTAGAGAAACGAATAGGAAGTTGAGAATCTTCTCTTCAAGCTTGTAGTTACAAACAGACAGAAATCCATTAAAAGTCCTATTTGTTCCTGACTATTTTTGATTGTTTCTATTTTTAATTTTCAATGGAAATTTTTACTAGAGAAAATAATTTTTCAGGGACCTTCCGTACAATAATTCGGATAGCACAGTACATTCACAAAATATTCTTTAAATTTTCTCTTTTTCTAAATGATAATTCCTTAGGAATTTCCTTAGGAAAACATAATAAAAATATTTCAAAAAATTTACTATGAAAAATTTGATGAAAAAATTGTGTTTAAAATTCCTAAATATTTCTTACAATTAGACATTCTTTGAGCATTCGAATAGAATTCCTTTCATATCAACAGTGTTTACTTTATGAATACAAAACAAAGTAGTGTTCAGAATAGATAAATGATTTTAAAAATATCTAATGAACCTCAACTAACAATAATGTTACATTAATATTATAATTTCTTACTCGACAATGTAAGTATTCAACAATGTAATGTAAGTACTCTAACAAATATATTTTGTATATAATATTTATTTATTGAATGATAAATTATAATATTCTTGAGTCTTCCACGTGTGCTTTCTACATAAAAATTATGCGTTTCGGGAGTTTCTTCCTTGTCCAGATCCATTGAATGTTTCCTTGGAATGCCAACGATTTTGTGATCTTGTAGTCCACTTCAGGGCGAGGAGTAGCCTGATACTTATAGTATCATGGATCTGAAGGAAATTCGCGAAACGTATTAATCTTTAGATAAATTATAATATTTATTAATGCAGCATTAGTTAGTTGATATTAAATAGATGTAACAGGTTTCTTTCAAATAAAATAATTAAAATACATTCTGAAGATATTAGAAAGTTTGGATTATCGCCGTGTTTTGATCCATTGCTAATGTCAATGTTTTGTGAACCTTATTGTTCATTTCATCAGGGCGAGGAGCGTTGTTTCAGTATATTGTACAGTGAATTCTCGATGAAGTGAACAGCAAGGTTCACGAAACGTTGATATTAGCAATGAATAAACACGTCGATAACCCACAAAGCTTCTGGTATCTTTGAAAAAAAAATACTCTTGAAAACTTCAAAAGTATTATAAAACACATTTCACTTTATTGAAAGAATTGTATGTACAACAAAGTAAAGTTAAAAGGTTATTACTTTAATTAATTTTCTAAAAAAAATGATAAAAAATTTATTAACTTTATTAGGAGATATGATATCGACGCTAATAATTGATAAGCACAGCAATGTGTCATACAGCGCGAGACTGGTTGTGTATTTTACACGAACCGCCAAGTTACGAGAAACTAAAGTCCGATCTACATAAGACGCAAAACGCAGGTCACAAATGAAACGTATTTCAGATTGCAATAGATCGCAAATTGCAATACGTAGGAAGCAGGATGCAGGAAAGTTAAAGTCATCCAACTTTCTACATCCTATGTTCTGCATTCTACAATCTATTATAATTAAAATACGTTAGAGTAATTTTTAGTTTTGCGATCTGCGAAATTCTGTGTCTTATGTAGACTTAATATTATCAAATTAGGCTTAATATTACCAAATCATAATAAAGGCTGATCAAGAATACATTCTATGTATGCTCAATATCTTTCACGAGAAATAAGTGTTTTTATTTTTTCTTTAAATTCTCTATGAATGGAGATATCACAAATTTCGAATCTAAAATTTATAATCTACAATATACAATTTAAAATACGTCGTAGTCATTGTCGTCCTCTCTACAGAAATGAATTACTGGATTTTAA